CTGCTAACCCTCGGAGGCATGTGGCCTCACCAGCCTGTTTGCTAGCTGGAAGAAAGGGGCTGTGTTTTGGCAGGATGCAGACAAGCCTGGCAATGGAGAGGGGGATGTTGCTGGGGTTTTGCAAGGCAGAAGTGCGGAGAGTGAAAGCCAAAAGGAGCTAAGTAAGGGGTATGTCTCCCAGAAAGATGACAAAGACTTTTCTTATATTCGTTCTCAGAGTACCATCTAGTGGCTGAATCCCTTGTGCAACGAGACAAAGAAAACAGGCTGAAGTCATCCCGTGGCATAAAGAATGTGGTTCCTGTCTGGAAGGGGAACTGCAAAAGAAATCCTTCATTTTAGAGGGGCTGTAAGTAACTACCAAGTCCAAGGCTGCAGTGGTAGCATGCTGACCTAAAGTTCTTCCACCTCTCCCGGAGTTCAAGCCTTGCTTTGGACCCACACTGAAGACCACTCCCAAGTAAACCCTCCCATAAATGGATGCCTGGATAAAATCAGACAGAGCCAGAGGCAGTATTAGGCATATCATTTCTGTGTATGACTTTGGAGATAAACTGGCACAAGTTAACTACACTACCCTGACAGGCTGCTATGCTGGGGCAGACATTTGACTGTTTTTGATCGACTGGCAATGCTGCTGCTTTCAGCACACAGTAGGACGGCAGTAATATTTTGGAGACAGCTCCTGAGCTAGGAGTGGATGTAGCTGCTTTTTATCACTCTGTAGTTCTGAGGCCCCTGTAATCTAACCAGCCTGAACAGCAGGCCTCACCTTTTTCTTTATTTCCAACCTACAGCACTCATCCAGCTCTGAAAACATACATAATAATCCACTCATCATTTAGTTACCAGGAAGGTATTTATAGACAGTACTATGTCTCTAGCCAAGGCTGTCCCTTGGCAAATTGGGGTGACCTCTCTAGGCCCTGGGACTCCACGCTGCTGCCAGCTTCACATCCATGCACCCCGAGAGCACTGGTGCCCCCCGCTTAGGCAATGGGCAGGCAGGAGAGCCAGTGCCCCTCCCTGTGAGCACTGGTTGGGGAGTGGGAATACCAGATGTAGTGCTGTGGCTGCTTCACAGTTGGTGAGTTTTGCTGCAGGGGGACCGCCCCGGTTGGCGGGATCAGCCACAGGGGGATTCCCCCCACCTGTTTGGCAAGGTTGGCTGCAGGGGGACCCCCCCAGGTCGACGCCAGGTCGACGCTGACTGGTTGCTGAGGGGGCACATGCCCCTCCTGACTAAGGTGACACCAGTCGCCTATGGTCTCTGGATAATTTTGTTTTCTAGACTCTCAGTGTTCCTCCTCTCTCAGCCTTCAATCTGTGTACTGTAATTATTGTCCTTCTTTACCTATTATTATATTGAGGTACTGTTTACACTCTGGGGCCCAGAATTGCAGGATATATTCCAGGTACAGTCACCCCACAGGCTGCTGAGAATGAAACTGTTGCCTCCTTAATTTTGCCAACTGTGGGCAGCTGAAAACATCACCGGCCCTACTGAGCTCATGTTTCACTGCAACACTTACAGGGCTAGAACAGCTCTTGGAAAATTATGTTGCCAAACAGGAGCAATGGCTTGGGAGCGAAGAGTGGTCTAAAAATAAGTCTAAAAATGATCACAGGTCTAATTATCAGAGTTACTGAGTACCTACAGCTTTTCTTGCGTGCTAACATCTCAGTGTTTTTTCTAACTGGCAGGACACTCTCTCCGCACTGAGAAAAGTATTTGGTGGGTGAACTTGTCTGCTGCACAATGCCAGCCTTAGTGGTGGGCTATGTGTGTGTCCGCCCTGGGCACCGTGATCGGAGAGTGCCACACACACATGCATATGCACATGCGCACACACATGTAAGCTGCCTGTTCACAGCAGTGCTTTCCACCCACCCTGTCCCGGCCTGCTCTATCCTTTCCCCAGGCAGGAAGAGCAGTGCTCAGCCCAACCTGTCCCTTGCTTCCAGATGCTGCTCAGGAGCTGGGCTGGGCACATGCAGGTGGCAGCAGCAGTGCCTGCCTGCTCACCTGCCTGGCATCTCTGCTGGACTGTGCCTGGCACCCCTGTGATTCTAGGACTTTTGTCTGAATTTTCAACTGGCTGGGATGCCAGGATGGCCTATGAAAAATGGGACTGTCCCAGCCAAATCAGGACGTATGGTCACCCTACCCATGGTTGCTCTCAAGCACAGAAATCGCCTCCTAGAACAGGGGTGGGCAAAATGTGGCCCGTGGGCCAGACGCAGCCCATCAGGCCATCCTATCCGGCCCGTGGGGTCCCTAAAAAATTTAGAAAATTAATATTTATCTGCCCCTGGCTGCCTGTCATGCAGCCCTCAATGGCTTGCCAAAACTCAGTAAGCAGCCCTCCACCTAAAATAATTGCCCACCTCTGTCCTAGAACATGCCAAGGACCTGGTATCAACATATCCTGATGTCACTGCAGTTTTGACTTAAAAGAAGGAGGAGTTAAGTAGAATTATCATAAACTCCATGGTTTACTGGCTTGCTTTTTTTCTCTGCTGCTCACTTGATCTGAAGGCACTTAACAGGGACCTGGTGAATATAGACCAAACCCAGCCCTTTAGTTTGTGAAGAGAAACACTGACACTGGCTCTGGAGGCTTCTACTTGGAGAATCTGCTTTGACTCTGGTTTCTTTTTTTGGTGAGTTCTCCTTTTCAGTGTGGGATGCTTGGGAAATACAGATTGCTGTGCAAAAATAACAGTATTTTTGCATCCGTGGGAGTGTATTGGGTGTTGTGACAGATGCTTCACCATCCTGTCTGGTAGCAGGGAGGGATTTAGTTTTCCAGGACTGCATTCCTGCCAGCACTTTCCTGAGAGATTTTGTTCATTAAAACACACTATCACTGTGCAAGTGAGGAGCATGGCAAACCCCTAATTTATGCAGAAGGGGCACTAGAAGGCAAGATGCTCAGAGGGAAAATCTCTAACAAATATTTGGGGAAGAGGATGCTACGGCCACTAGGACCATTGGAGGAGGAGTGTTAAGTGGAGTAAAGCTAGGTGTGAAGTCCAGGCCTTAAAACTCTCCTTGACTTCAATGGGGCCAGATTTCACTGAAGGAGTCTAAGCCACTGCTTCTTAGGGAGGTCAGCCTGAGACACCTCCACCTGCCTCACCACTTACCTCAAAGCAGGCTACTTCCCACAGCTCCTCTGGCTGCTGAACTGTGTTGCTGAGCTCTGCAACCTTAGCCTATACCCTCTTGGCTAAAGGGATAGCTCTTCTCCGTCCTTCAGCAACAAGGCTAACTGGAGGCCTTGCACACAAAATCCCAGGGCAGGTTTGGGCTCTTAACACTTGGCTCAGGTGGACACTTAACAAGTAATGGAGACACCTTAAGAGAGGTAAGCTGGCCTACAGGCCACAACTCAGGGGTGGGCAACTTTTTTGGGTGGAGGGCCACTTACCCAGTTTTGGCAGGCTTTTGAGGGCCACATGGGTAACCCTGCCCCTTGACAGGTGCCCTGCCTACTGGTCACCACGTTGGAACCAATGTCCCAAGGCCAGCACCAGTGGGGCCCAAAGTGGAGCACAGGCTGGGAGGGGTCTGTGGAGCCAGGCTGGACTGCACTAGCAGGGAGAGGGGGGAGCTGGCCTGGCTCCACAGAGGTCCTGCTGGCTGGGACCCTGCACTCCTGCCACCCTGCTCTGGGCCCTGCCAGCATTGACACTGGTGCTTCCACTGGCTCCTGCACCTGCTCACTCCCGGTGCCCACCAGCCCCATGGTACAGGTAGGGGGCAGTGCACAGCCCTGACACCCTGCTTGCCGGCAGGGAAGAAGCTGGTGCTGAGTGTGGGGAAAAGTGGCCCCTCGCCCATGGCCAGCACTTCTTGCTGCAGGCACTCGCAGCCCACGCACGGCTGTCTGGAGCAGGCACAGGCAGCCCCACACGGGCTGCAAGTGGCTACAGCGTGGGGTGTTGGCCACAGAGGGAGGGGCTGCTTTTCCTTGTGCTCAGCACCAGCTTGTAACCCAGCCCTGCTGCCAGCTTGGGCTCCATGCCAGCTCTGGACTCACCCATCGGCAGCAGCAGCTGTTGTCCCCCTGGGCAATGTTGGCTGCTGCTGCCCACCCGGAGCCGGTGTGCTGGGCAGCCCAGAGGTGGCAGTGGCAAACACTGCCCGGTGCGGCAAGCGGAGGGGCCACAGCTGCTGTCACCATGCGCAGCCCTGACAGGCAAGCCCAGAGCCAGCGTGGGGCCCAGGTTGGCAGTGGGGCTGGGTTACATGGTGGTGCTGAGCGCTGGGTGGGGGGGAAGAGGGGAGCAGCCCCTTGCCTGCCCTGTGCATGGGACTGTCTAGAGCAGGTACATGGGCTGCGAGTAGCTGCAGTGCAGAGCGCTGGCCACAGGGCGGGCGAGGGCTACTTTTTCCCTGGCCACTTTTCCCCAAGCTCCTTCCCTGCCCGGGGTCCTCCCCTGCCCTTCCCCCTTACCTGCGGTTCCAGCGCGGCGCAGCCATGTGGTTCCAAGCCCCTCCTGGGGCTTCCAGCTCGGGGAGCGGGACCAGGCAGGCCCTGCTGTTGTGGGAGCCTGCTGGGCTGCACTTGGTTCTTGTCAAAAATCACAGGAAGGGCAGATAAATATAAATTTTCCAAATTTTTTAGGGGCCCCACAGGCTGGGCAGAATAGCCTTGTGGGCTGGATCTGGCCCGCGGGCCATATTTTGCCCACCCCTCGTTTAACTGATGGCTGAGGGTGGTCACACCACAGCTTGCCAGCCACAAAAGGCTCCCAGGCAGTTTAAATGAGGGTTGTGAGCCATGTGCATCTACCCCCACAACAGCAATTGCCAAACTTGCATCCTGTCCTCCCATGGCAGCAACTTATCTTGCATACACTGTCCTCACCCAGATCTATCATATGTGTGGCTCTCAGGTGTGTGACAGTTATAGCATATGGCTCGAAGGATTAGGACATCTGGCCAATCCAGATTCAGGTCTCACAATAATTAAGATTTCTGCACTTTGCACTCACAGGTCTCAAAGCAGTTTATTTGGGAAAAACCATTACCCCCATGTTTTACAAATAGGAAACCAAGGCATGGAGAGGTTGGATGCTTAGTTTTAGGTTACACTGATTCAGTAGCACAGCTGGGGACAAACCAGCAGTCACTTGCCTCTGTCCTATATTCTGACTGCTAGACCCCAGCCAGCTCAGGGAGAATCTGCTGAAGCTGGGCTGTAAGCAGCTTGAGTGGTTTGCTCAATTTGACCATAGCCCGTAAAACACTCATGGCTGGGCTATTGCTGAACAAGCCACCTTCAGACTGGTTAGAGCAGTAGTTTTCCCTGGGCTTCTCCTTGGTGGTACTGACAGTGTGACCTTTCCCTCATCAGTTGAAAGTTAAGTTTGTAAGTTAAAAGGTTTTATTGACTGCAAATTTCAGGGCTTCTTTGCAAACAGGCTGATGTCAGCCAGGTTGAGGCACCAGGCTCTCAGTGCCTGTACAGGATCTGAGAAATGCTAGGCTTATGACTAGCCTCTCCTGTCATGCCCAGCATTTTCTGTCAGGAAGTCATGGATGGCAGTGGTGATGCCCCATGTTGGACATGCCCGCAGGACAAGCAGGGACCCACCCCGGTACAGAAGGGTTAGGTTCCTCCCACGTGACTGCCAGACAGACTGCATAGACTTCCACAGGCTGAGGACCTCGTGCCCCCCAACCTGCGACTGCATGTTGGCAATGAGAACAGTCAGAGGGTACAACATGAGGCTGGTCAAGGTCCCGTTGATGCTGCCAGACACCAGGGCAGGCAGCCAGCTTGGCAGGCCTTTGTTGGACAGGCTGTCACGGAGGGGGTCCTTGAAGGAGAAGTACAGGGCGCTACCCAGGCTGTTCCGCAGCAGAACGGGGCCAAGGCCCCGGTAGTAGCCTATAACAAGCCTTTCCTTCAGGCCATAGGAGTTGAATTCCTGCAGAATGCTGCGGGTATTTGGGAACCTGCTGTTTTTCCGTCCATCCTGCAGGATGTTTTGGACCCGTTCAAAGGGATTCAGGACCAAGGCCTCCATTGAGCCAGAGAAGAAGCCTGCTGCCCACCGCTGTGGAAGCATGTAGGACTCGGATGTGTTGCTGGAGAGGAGACTGAGGAAGCTGTCGTAGGTGCCAAACATCAGGGTTCCCTGCAGTGTCTTGGACATGAGTGGTGGTAAAATGCCCCGGTAGAGGCAGCAGAGGCCCTCATGGTGCAGCTGGCATACTGCTTTGTGGATGGAGAAAGCATGGATCTGCTGGCGGAAGATAGTCTTGTGGATGGGGAATGTTGCCAGGATGGACAGGAAGCTGGAGAGGGCCCCATGGTGGTAACTCCAGAAGCTCCATCCTTTCTCTACCTCCTTTCCATTCTTGGAGTCTCCACACTGAATCCCAGCTGTCTCTTCCATTCTGGGACCTCCTCTTTTAGCCACTAGGATGAGGTAGAAAGAAACCTAAAATAATTTGTAATGAGGTGATAGGCTGAGGGACCTGAGGTCATTTCCCAGCTGCATAGGTGTCACTGTGGCTGATCAGTTTATGCTAAACTAGAACACTAGCTCGCATGAAGGGACAGCCCTTCTGACAGGATCCACACCTCAGGCTGTGCTGGAAGAATCTCACTATTGCTCTAGAGGAGGGCTGATGGTCTTTTCTCCACTGTCCAGCCTATTTTATCCCAGCTGTCTCACTGGGTGCCCTATTTTGTCCCTGCTCTCCAACAAGAGCGACCCAGATTATTTATTTATTTATTTATTTATTTACCAGTTCCAGAGACAATTTGATTGTATTCCATATTAGGGGCAAAGCTAGAAAAAGGCAAGTTTTGTATGGGTTTTCCCAGCAGGGCTGAACCATGCGCTCTAAGCCCATCACCCACAAACGATCCAAGTGAAGCATCCCCAGAGGTGGCCTCATGGTCCTTTCTATGGAGAACTCAGGTACCCTGATAAACCTTGCTTTTTGTACACCTATTTTACTGCTGCCCATGAACCCACACTACTTGGCTGTGTACAATCCTTTCCATCTAGACAAGGAGATCCAGTGCAGCAATGAGTTCTGAAGAAAGCCTCTTGTATTGGTTTAAGCAGCCTGTGCTGGTGTTAGAGCAGTGGAAGGACTGACTGTTAATGCACCCCAGAAAAAGACAAGCCCCTGAGTTGGCTCACCATGACCTCCTGGATTGGATCCTGGGTAGCCACATGGATTTCTTGTATGTCCTGATCTGCCTGACCCCACTGTACCCACATGTGTGCAACACCTTTGATTGGTAGTCAGAGGGTTACATGGACTGTCCCACAGAACTGCTGTGATTAGCTGTCTGAAAAGTAGCATTAAATGGCCCCACCTATCCCAGAGTCTCCCCTGAGTTGATTACTCTGCAGGTATACTCCAGGACTTGATTCCTGCCTCAGGGAGATTGTAGCCTGGATGCATCTTTCACTGGAGTGCATCCAGTCAGCATGGGTCTTAACCAAAGCTCATGGAAGTCAGTGGGGGCCTCTCCTTTGACTTCAGTAAGCTTCATATCAGGCCTATAACTCCTCCCTTTGGATATTACTGTTCACTAGTTTGTGGAGAACATGCGGGGAAAACTGCCCAAGGGCTATGGATGGATCCATGACAACAGACCAAATTATGGGGGCTCTGTGTAGGGTTCAGACATGAGATCTGGGTGTGTAGCCTTTCCCAAGCAGCATTCAGGGAGCACTGCATAAGGGGACGAGTCCTTTCCCCTTAGACCAAGCCCATTGATTCAGGCATTTGATCAACACTGATGTATGACCAGTCACTCGGATAGTCAGGAGGGAGCAGGGTCAGTCTGGATGGCTATGGGAGCAGAGGTGGGGATAGGTTGAAAGATGATTTTTCACTTAACTGGAGCTGCCAAAGGTTGCCTTGTTACCTCTAATATTGCTAAACCAGAGGAACAGGACACAACCAGTGTGCACAGCAGAAGGGGGACTCAGGTAGTTCAGTGCCAGTGTTTCTATTTGGACACAGAACAAGTGACTACGTTTTCCAAATAGCTTGGGCTGCTGCACCGTGAAGCTAGAAAATCTGCCTGTGTGTCAAAGTGGGAGCTCTTGAGTTGTGAGATCTCAGAAAAGCCAGCCCCAAAGGGCAGTGCAGAGCACTTGAAAACCTGACCTTCACCATCTGAACAGATCCCAGCATGAATAAGAGCCAGCAATGTGAAAGTAGCTGCTAGGGCCAATAAAACTCTGGCATGCATCAATTGATGCATCTCCAGTAAAAACAAAGTGATTCTCCCGCTTTACTCAACATTGGTGCAGCCGCATCTAGAGTACGGCGTCCAGTTTTGGGTGCCATACTTCAACAAGGATGTGCTAAAGCTTGAGAGGGTCCAGAGAAGGGCTACCCATATGATCAGAGACTTGCATGGCAAGCCATACGAGGAGATGCTGAAGGATCTCGGACTCTTCAGTCTAAAGAAAAGAAGGCTGAGAGGGGACCTGATTGTGGCTTACCTCTATATCAGAGGCGTACATCAGGGGCTCGGTGAACAACTGTTCACTAGGGCGCCCTGGGGAAAAACTAGAAACAATGGCCACAAAATCCTGGAAGATAGTTTCAGGCTGAACATTAGGAAAATCTTCTTCACAACTAGGGTGTCCAAACTATGGAACAAGTTCCCCCCAGAGGTGGTGCAATCACTTACCTTAGAGGTTTTCAAAAGAAGACTGGACAGTCACCTGGCTGGGGTCACCTGACCCCAGATGTCTTTCCTGCTCATGCAGGGGACCTGATGATCCTTCGGCTTCTCTTCCAGCCCTATGAAACTACAAGCTGGGGTCTATAGGTGCAACTGGCTCCTCTCATATCTCCTGACTCTAGGCTCCACTTCCAGGGAGACATGGGCCCTCCCTTTCTTGCCTCCTGTCTCTTTAGCAGGTTTCCAAGGGTCAAACTTACCTTTCAGTTTCATTATTAAAGTGTAAAGCTAAATTCAGCTTTGGCAGAATTAATCACAACAGATTAGGGTCTGTGGAGTTGTGCTGGTAAACCCACAGAGGTGCTTGGCCTTGGGTCACTAAGTGAACCAGGGATCATCATTTCAGTGCAGGTTTAGGGCAGATTCAGGGCAGGTTCAGGGTAGATTAGTGTATCTGCCCTAATCTCATCAAAACCTGCAGAAAAACCACAAGGCCTGGAAAAAGCTATATTCTACTTCTTGCTAAGATGAATGGATAGATGGATGGATAGAGTAAGTTCCAGGTCAAACTAGCCAAATCAGTTCCAAATCATATCGATTGAGCAGAACTCAATCGTTCCAAAAACCATATTGATTGAGCAAGCAGAACTCAATCATGCTAAACACCATGTATGGTGCTACAATTTGCAAAAAATTCTCTGTCCTAGACCTATCACCCTGGGACTTCAGATATTTCTGTCAGAATAGCTACCCCACCTCTGCAGGCAATACAAGCTGTTAATAGAAGCCATGTCCTGTGGGCATGGCTGTATCCATACCAGGGGCTTTGCTAGTGAGGTGGTCTGACCTTTTCACAGTCCCTCCCCACCATGAGCTGTGCTGCCTACGCTGTCATGTAGACCAGGGCTCTGATGCTGAGCCTTTCTCCAGCTGGCTCCAGCAGTGCTAACCTGCAAGAGCAGCAGGTTAAAGGCTCAGGTATATCCCTCACTACATACACAGCCCATTTTCCCTTTACCTTGTTTGTGCCTTGGGACAAAGCTAGGGTCCAACACTCCCATTTCTGATCTAGGTGGGATTATACCTCCTCTACAGCAGTGTAAGCAACCTGGCTGGGGAGAGGCAGGTCCTGAGGGAGCTTCCCCCAGGGAGGAAGTTACTACATATAGTCACTTCTGTGCATATGGCCAGGAGCCTGCCTGGGTACTGCAGGCAGGGTGGATGAAGGCAGTCTCCCCCAGGGTCCCTTTTACATAATTAGTGTGGATCAGCTCACAACAACATCAGTGCCACACTGCTGGCTTCAGCCCACTGGAAAGGCCAGTGCTGTCCCAGGTGACATCAGTGGCTGCCTGCCCCACTATGTAGTTGGCAGGTGGGGAGGGCTACAAACAGGTTACCAACACAAGGGGTTTGACCAGTCCCTCACATATAAATGCAAATGAGGCCAGCAGGCAGACAAGCCTGCTTTGCTTGGGGGTCCCCTCATATCAGCTACTGCCTTGGGTACCATCATCATGCCCCAGCCAGCTCTACTTTCCCACATCCTGAGCTCCATGGCTCTCAGCTGTCATCCAGTTTCCTATCTCTTCTCCCCTGCTGGTGGGGAAGTGCATGGATGCCTTCACACCTCTTCATCTGCCCAAGCCCCCAGGGGTAGGATTGAGGGCACAGCAGGGAAAGCAGCCCACCCCCCTCCAGCACAAGAGCAAAGCTGAGCATGACGAGGTGGGGGAGGATGAGACAGAAGGGAGTGCTCAGTTATAAGTGGTTTTAAAAAACAAGACGAACTCCTCATAAGCAGTGGCTGCTGCAATGACTCTAAATCAGGGTCAGAATGATACATGGGTAATAACAGGATTTAGCATCAAGGGCCAAACTCACCCCTGCTGCCACTCTGCAGTCAATGGAAGGTACCTCAGGTCAGAGTTTGGCGTGATGTGAACTTTCCT